CAAAAACAAAACAGTAAAAAGGTTTTTAATGAAAATGTTATACAACAGTCCCAGAATCCAGAGCTTCAAAGATCAGCAGGTACTCAAGACTGTTATCCGCTTCGCTGTCATCAGCCGTGAGAAAGTGTTTTTTCCCTTACAAAGTCCGCCGGTCGCGCAATTTGTCTGTGCATGCGCATCCCAACGATTGACGCCCCCCCCCCTCTTTCGGAAGGTTGCCACAGTACGACGTGTTCTAACGTGACTCTCTCTCTCTCTCTCTGTCATTTATTTGGCTCGAAACACATATTAACAAATTGCTCAGTGATAAACAACTACTCAGATCCTTTACCTAAGCAGTGCGCTTTGTCAAAACTAAGTAAGTGTGTCGATAATGAACACATAAGTGTGTTCACTACACATAAGTGTGTTCATTACACTGACATTCTGTTGTGCAATTGTTATTCACTTGTATTTTGGACGCTCTATGGTCCTAGTTTTACTGGACCTCTCTTCGGCCTTTGATATGGTGGACCATAACATTTTATTACTAAGACTTGAGCACACTGTGGGTATTAGAGGCACTGCCCTCGACTGGTTTAAATCATACCTCGCTGATAGATCCTTATCAGTTCACTTAGAAACCTTCTCCTCTTCCTCCGCTCCGGTCTGTTGTGGTGTGCCTTAAGGATCAGTTTTAGGCCCTATTCTCTTCTCATTGTATTTGCTCCCTCTAGGCGCAATCTTTGAAAAATACAATATCGCCTTCCACTGTTATGCCGATGACATACAGGTCTATTTTGAACTTACTGACGACCTTGCTGTGTCCCTGCACTACTTTCAAGAATGCATGCAGGAGGTCAAAGAATGGTTCCTGAGTAATTCCCTCATTTTAAATGATAAGAAGACTGAGACTGTGGTGTTCAACAGTAAAATCCCTCGTGCCCAGCTCTGTGCTGCCCTGGGTTCCTTTGCTAGCTCTTCCTGTGACTATGTCAGTAACTTGGGTGTACTGCTGGATAGCTCGCTCAAACTCGATAAGCAAGTGTCTGCTGTTGTGAGATCTAGCTTCCACCAACTGCGCCTTATCTCTAAGGCTAGGCATTATGTTCTGCATGAGAACCTGGAGAAGCTTATTCACGCTTTTGTGACCTCCAGGTTGGATTACTGTAACTCTTTGTACTATGGTCTTCCCTCTTCTCTTCTTCTTAGACTGCAAACAGTCCAAAATGCAGCAGCCCGCCTCTTGACTGGTACCAGGAAATTTTGCCCTATTACTCCTGTCCTAGCTAGCTTGCATTGGCTGCCCATAAAGTACCGCATTCAATTTAAAATATTACTCCTTACATTCAAAACTATTAATAAATTAGCGCCAAGTTATCCTAGTGAACTTCTCAAACCACATACTCCTGCTAGAACACTCAGATCTGCCACTCAACTACTTCTGACCCAACCCAGATCTCGGCTGAAGTCCCGGGGTGACTGTGCGTTTGCTCTGGCTGCCCCGGGACTGTGGAATAACCTTCCTCTCGACCTCCGCGCATCTGATTCCACTGCACTGTTCAATCACAACTAAAAACCCACTTATTCAATCTTGCCCCTCCCTCTAGTTAATATTTCTTTTATGATTTTATATCATGCACTTTTATGCTCATTTAAATTATTGTTTGCTCTGTACCTGTTGCTTTCCTATGTATCAGTGACAGCTACCTGCTTGCATACTTAGTACTTGCTTTGGTCCTATATCTATTATCCTCCTCCTATTCTCTATCTTACTTGTTAAGCACCTTGGCATACCCTTGGTTTTTAAGTGTGCTTTATAAATAAAGTTTATTATTATTATTATTTATAATTTGACTTTACATACTGCTGGGTGGTTTGTAAAGTTTACAATAACTAGTATTATCATTATGCTATATTTTCTAATATGTATAATAATCTCAAAAGTAATGCCTTGAAGCAGAAAATAGTAATACTTTATTAAAACTTAAAACTAAAGTACAGTAAACGTCTTAATAATAAATTCCATATTCTATCACCACATTATTTGTGATCAGTGGGTTTGCGGGGTTAGGGGTGTTGGGGGTAGGGTCTTTAGGCTTTGGCCCCCACCCCTGCCACCAGTATATTTTTAAGCAAGTATTTCTAACTTTTTTTTGAATATTCAGTTTCCTACCATCTGCTCTTAAAGGGTAATTGCCAGGTAACCCGCCTCCCCCTTCGCACACACATGCACACAAACAAAACACACAGTATAATTCACACTCTAATTATAGTGAATAAATATTTATGCTATTTACACCATCAAACTTAGATAGCTAAGGATGAAGAATCTTTTGTTCTTTAAAGAACCATTTGTAGTACCTAAAGAACCATCTACAAAATAAAAAGGTTCTTTGACATATGATGGTTCTTTAAAGAACCATGAAGACATCTGAAGAACCATTTAAGAACCATAATTTTTCTGAGAGTAGAAAAGGATCCTGGTGTTATTTGTCTCTCAGAAACAGCTCATAACTTCCCTTCAACTCATTCATGTCACCTAAAAGGTAAACCTGTTTCTCCATCACCTGTTCAGCTCTGATGGTTCAGTAAGGACATCTCCTGGTTTCATCTTCATGTTTCCCTCTCACCACATATCCAAACCGACATCCTGACCAGCAGCTTTACAGCTGTGGCTCCAGCAAACATCAGCTGATGCTAGAAATTAATATTAAATAAATTCTAACAACAGCTGATCAAGCTTAAACGTGCTGCTGTTGTTTACCGCGACATCTGCTGGTTTCCTCTTTCGGCGCAAAGTGAGCGATAAACAAACAAGAGAGAAAAGCCGATCAGCTGATCATTGATCAGTTTCATGATTAAAGTAGCAACAGGAGAGGGAGGGGGAGAGAATGAGAGAAGAAGAGGGAATCCAGCTTTGTGTCTTTTTTCATTCTAGCTGAAGTTCGGGACAAACTGCATCTCTTCTCAGCTCAATACGAAACGGGTAATATTTTCTCTGAATGAGGGATCATTCCATTTTTTAAGGAGCCGTTGGCAACTCTACTAACTACCCTTATGAATAAAATAAAGTTCACTATCAGTAACATCGTAGCACCCACCCAGCTGTATAGAAACTCTGTCATGCTGGCTAGAACGCAGTACGAGTTATTGTAACTGAGGGAAAAAAGTCAGCACAACGAAAATAAACTCCACCTAAACTTGGTTTATATCTGACCCAGATAGACTGCAGGTCATAACTTCTTACCTGAAGTTCAGTTCACCGCCAGGAGGAGGAGGTCTCTCCTGCCTCCCCTTCCCTCATCCACCTGCTGGCCTCTGTGGCAGCTCCGCCATAGCCACCACCAAACAACTGAGTTATTGTTACACATCGGCCAGCATCTGGCCAATCCACCTTTCATTGTTTATACCGTTACAAAAATAATTAAATAAATAAGTCATCAGCCCACCTGGCAAATGCCCGGTATGCCCGATGGCCAGTCCAGCTATGTTAACCTGCAACCAAATCTGCAGCTCCACACAGCAATGTTAACTTGGATTATATCTTATAACTCATAACTCTTATGCTAGCTCCCCCCAGCAGCCTACTGTCTGAAATATTCCACGGCTGTAATAATTCTTTAAGTGTTATTTTTTTTCCTTGGTATTCTAATTTCACCGAAGTTTACTAAACTCCACAAACTTAATATTACTTACCGGGACATTTATTTTCTCCTCATTTTCTTTCGCCGAAAATATTTTTGCGGCGGTGCCTCTTTCGCGCTTGGCTCTCCTTCCTTTGCTAACGTGATGCTCATAGTGCAGAAGCCGATGCTGCATTCACTTACACTCGGATATCTGAGCTTCACTGTGAAAATATAATCGTACATTTCATATTTGATTGAATTTTATTGTTTTAACTTCGGGGTGGTACCTGGGGTGGCCAGTCTGGTTGGGCTGCTGGACACGCCACTGCACACACAACCCGTGGAAAGGGGTTCATAATGTTGTAAATCCAAGCCCGTTATGTATTCATGATTTGAATCCTGGGTTGTGTGAAATCCCAGAAATACACTTTAGACAAAGTGAATCTGTTAACTAAGGTGTAGGTCTGTTAGGTTATGTTGTGGTGATTCTCGGGTTGGGGGATTTGTGTTCATACTGGAGTGCAAAATTAAAACCAAGATGGACAAGAAAAGTTCAAAGCCATCAGGTCCTCAGTTTAGAAAAAATAGAACAGAAGAGGAGAAACGAGCAAAAGATACAGGTAAGCAGATGTGTCATTGGATAATGGCAGGTCATCCTGAAACAATCAGAATACTTTATTAATCCCTAAGGAAATTATGTGGGTTACAGGTGCTCCAAGAAGAAATGGTAAATTGTTGATTTGTCCCGTTCTCATTGTATGACGAATTATGATGGCTGTTTGGTAGCCGTTTGCATACAATGCATACTCTCCCTCTCTTCATGTATGTGTGTGTTTCTCTGATGAATTTCGACAACAGTTTCATGTTAATGTACAATCCTTAATATGTGTGTGTGTGTGTGTGTGGGGGGGGGGCAGAGGGAGTGTTTTCCCAGGGTGCCAAACAGGCTAGGACCGCCACTGCTAGTGACCAAAATATGTTTCATATTATTTTATAGTTATTAGTGCTGTCAGCATTAATCTCGTTAAAATGACGTTAACGGCATAACTGCACTGATGCGCATCAACGCCGTCCAGCCCCACGCGCAGGGCGATCCACGCTAACTCGCTGATGGAGATTTGGCGCGTTAAAACAGTTACGGCGTTAACTTCATTTTAACAAGATTAACGCTGACAGCGCTAATAGTTATAAATGTTATAACTAAAAAGTTATTTATTCCATATCAGTTCAAAAACGAACGTGACTTTTATAACGTTCAAATGTGACCACAATCGAAAGATTAACAACTAAAATCAATCCAAAGCAGAAACAAAGTTTTACATCATTGGTGACGAGTGAGAAAAAACGAGATCTTGACATTTTAGAATCAAATCAAACGCACAGAGCAGCAGGTGGTGTGAAGTGTCAAGTTTATTGGTGTTCAGGAATGTCAGAGCACAGCAAGTCGACATCAAAGATGCCTGAAGGGCTCTGCGGTCGGCGACAGGGGTGGACAAAATAACAGAAACAGGTTGAAACAGCTCTGCAGAACCATAAATATACATCTGTTTAATCACCAGTAACTGAGGATACAGAGTGCAGACGAGCTCCAGGAGGTTTTGAGGTGTGAGCTGGTTGTTTCTCAGTGATACAGAAACGACAACAGAAAAAAAAAGAACTTTTTGTTTAAATAAAATACAGAAGACAAGTAAAAATGATGATTTCACAGGCCAAACATGGAAGAGCATGAAATCTGAACGAAACCGTCACCGCAGAGCTCTTTGTCCTTTCTGTATGATTTTATCCACCTTTCATGAACAGAAGCATTAAACACACAAACATGAAGTCGCTGCTTTTTTGGTTTCCGTACTTTTCCCCACAAATTTAAAACCACTTCTTTTTTTATTTTTAAACACGTCTTGTATGATCCTCGATCTTCACAATCAACATCACAGGAAGTCAAATGAACTGCATACTTTTGAAGTACTACACACATAATGGTCCACATGTAACGAGCACAGTGAGAGTCTGAACTTTTTCTTTGAGGTGATTTTTTTCTTTTAAGAGGAGAACGTGATTTGACCTAAACCTCAGAGCAGCGTCTGAAAAACGAACCGCGAACCTTTAAAACAAGATGCTTCGAAACGAGTCCACGTTCAGCCGGAGCACGAGGCCGTAACAGAGACTTGTTAGAAATATTTGTTTTACATTGAGCTGCCACATTAACTCTTGACAATCAAATAAATGTAAAAAGCAGAACTTTAAATGAAAAAAAGCAGACTGCTCAGTTTCCCCTTTTTGATTGTAATCATCACCTTTCAGTTTTTCATGAACCGACTGTTTCGACGACAGGAACAAAAACTGCTTTTCTTTAAAAACAGGCTCCACAGGAACGAGCGGATCGTTTACACGTCAGAAATTTTAGTAGATTAACAAAAGATTTATTTTATACTCACTAATTTCTATATCAGATCTGAAGCCTGTCTGTGATTTCATCCTGTAGAGAGCTCAGGTAACATGTCGCAGATTTCTCATTAACTGGACGGACTTCCAGCTGATGACAGGAAACGGAAAGTTCAACTTCCTTACATGAGTTCCAGAGTTTAACTTCAGCTAAACAAAGGTGTTCACAACCAGCACAACTCAGCTGGCTGCAAACACCTTTAAAACTCAGTGTAACGGTTACTTGTTGGCAAATATTTAAATGTAAAGATTAATTAAACCCACAGGATTTAAAATTAACTGACAGATTTCAAACTGCGGCTTCAGACACTGGCTGATGACCTGAGTGAGAGGAAGACACTGAAGCAACGTGAACGTCACTCTCACTTTCAGCCTGTGACGAAGAAATCTGTCCAGAGCGTCGCAGAGAAACGGAAAAACAGTTAGAGGATAACACTGTAACACTGATCGGGCTCACTCAGCTGCAGAAGAAGAAAAACAGACACAAAAGCAGCAAAAGCAGAATAAAACAGGTTCGTCAGAAGAGCTCCGGGCGGCTGAAAGCAACAGTTTCTCCTTCATGAATTCTTCATAAATATGAAACGATAACTGGTGACAGGCGATCCTGGAAGGACTCCAGGTGTTTCCCACTTGTGATGGTCGTGCGTGTTTGTTGACAAAGACAAAAACAGCTACAAGTTTAACACAAAGAAAAAACTTAAAAAAATATTTCTGAACCCTTTTTGAACAGCTGACCTCCAGCCGGCCGAGGTCGGCGCCTCAGCGGCAGACGGGCTGCTGCTTTCCTGCTTCACAAGTAAAAACTAACTCAAGGCGTCTATCAACAACAATTAAAAAAAACACTACAACTCTGATGGCGGTACTGGAATGCACGTGAAGCTCAGGACTGCCTCTCAGTATCCCAGGTCCAGCTGGATTTTGTGCTCAAAAATGGCGATTAGCAGCATTATGCAGAAGCCCAGCAGGATGCCGGCGTTCTGGAGGAGGAAGAAGCCCCAGTGGCTGAAGCCGTGGTCGCCGGCGTCATTGTGCAGCATCTCGGGGACCTGAAAGAAGAAAACTGTCTCAGGCTCACAGACCCTCTGCAGAAAACAGGAACTTTTCCCATGAAGGAGGAGGAGACGTTAGTTTAAATGAACGGACAATGCACCGCACATCTGCTGCAGTACCCGGTTACACCACTAGGAGGTAAAAAAAATTTCGAATAAGCTTTTCTAGAGTGTAGAGCAGGGCGACAGCCACGAGAGGGTGCCTTTGTTCAGGAGAAAGAAGCTCTGCTGTGTTTTCCAGCACTAAACCCTCCTGCAGCTGTTTTTCAGACGTACAGACATTTATATGACGGGATTTTTACGATTTATGAGATGCCAATAAAATGATGGCAGTATCTTCATCTCAGGCTGAACTCTGCATTTAGTGTCAAGCAAAAGGAACATTTTTATGTGGAATATTCATTTAAATTTCACAGCATTAAAAGTGAACCTCTCGCTCTGTGGATCAGGATGTGAGAGTGGATGCTCCCTTTTGATTGGCTGGAGGGTAATGCTCACTTACCATGTCCACCAGGGCCACGTACATGAAGAGCCCGGCTGTGAGGGCGAATATCCACGTGGAGATGTTCTCGGCGTAGTGTCCAATCAAAATCCCGGTGATCATGCCCAGGTAGGCCATCATGGCCGACAGCACGTTGTAAAGAATGGCCTGACGCACCGTCATGCCGGCCTTCAGGAGCACCGCAAAGTCACCTGAGAATCGGAGAAGACTGTTACTCACTACGACTGCTGCACCCGCATGATGGATGTGGATCAAACCTCTGACCGTGAACTAAATTAAGGATCAGGCTGTGTCCAAGGACAGGATAACTAATAAATCAAAGTAACATCAGAGAAACACGTGAAAAGAATCAAGAGCAGGACTGTGCACAAAGACAGACGTGCTGCACAGCTCACTCTGAGCTGGTGTTGGTTGGTTCAGCCTTGCAACCACTGCACTGTTTCTCTTTGCCTTCATGCATTAAAGATCGTGCAGTTTGTGGTGTATTTTCAGGTGGTTGAGTAAATGAGCTGCGTTGCTTTTGCAGAAAGGAACGAGCTCTTCAGCTTCTGCTGTTCCACACATTTAAACCTTGTCTGTCTCTTACTGTGATGTTACTGCTTCAAAACGACTGCACAACGCAGGAATCAGCTGCGACCAACACATGCAGGCAGTGAATTTTTGATTTCATAACAAAATAAACACGCTGTGACCTCCCAGTGAAAGGTTTCCATATTTAAATGAACAGATGTTTAAAAGTCTGAAAGAAGGGTTTCTTCACTCTTTCAAAGCCAATATCTCTTTATTCCACCGCAACAATAAAGAACTTTATGTAGGTAAGACTGAGGCTTACAGAGAAAATGTTCCACTGAGATAAGATGAAAAAGTCTCACCCAGCTCATGAGGCAGCTCGTGGCAGAAAACAGCCACAGACGTGCTGAGACCGCTGGACAGACCCTCACTGAACGCAGCGCCTGCAAACAGATAAACATTAGAAACCAGCAGCAGCAAGAGGCAAACATCAGCATGAAAATGCACACCTTCATGTCACTGTTTACTGTGGCTGAGGGTGAATCCTCCTGACGTTTAACTTTAATCACCAGTTTGTTCTAACATTACTAATTCTGCCGTCAGTGGTCAAGTATGTTAAATATGCTGTGCACCAACTTTCTAACCTACTCTGTGAAAATGATTTCTGTGCACCGAACTGACGCTTCATCCCGTGACTCTCTCATGTTTCTACTTTCTCCACTCCCATCAGTTTCAACCAGTCTCGCTTCCAGACTTCAAACTGTTGAGAAGTTTAAACCCACTAATTACGACATCTGTCCCTCCAGAGTCTTCAGAGACTTTTGGACCAACGCCACAATCTTTCATCCGAAGTTCTTAATCTTTGTTGAGATTCTTCAGTCTGGTTTGAAATGACATCACAGCTCTGCATCTTTAGAGTATTGCTGATGTGAGTCATTCATTGTACGACTTGTGAATCGTGAAACGTTGATTTCCTGTCTTTTGGTATCCGTGGTAACACACCGAGTATGTTCAGCTCATATCTGACTAACAGCTTGTTTTCCATCAGCTTTCTGAAACAGCTTCTTCGGTCTGCGGCGTTCCACAGGGATCCATTTTAGGCCCCGCCCTGTTTGGGTCCATATTGTATTGCCTATCACTGCAGACCACGCCCACTCACACCTGCCTCAGGTGTAATCAGACACTGACTGGTTCCTTAAGCTGAGGTTCAAGAATTTCATCCCCATCAGTGACAACAAAACCACGTTTAGTTTTTAACACCCCCACAAATATAACTTCATCTCTCTCCTGCAGACAAATATCCAACTGATGACTTGTTGAATGGTCACTTCCTGTGGTGACATGACAAACTCTCAGCACCATGTTTATTCACGTCAAACCAACCCTGCTGGGCTCTGATTGGTTAGAAACTGGTGTGTTTGCTGTTAAACGAGTTCAAGACAAAAAACTGAAGCTAAAGAGGAAGTGACATCACGGGTTGTGACCCTTCTACTCACCGATAGCGAGGCCGTCGCTGAAGTTGTGCAGTCCATCTCCCATGATGACCATCCAGGCCAGCGTGGCCACTCCGGCCTCCTGGAAGTGCTGCTCCGAGTAGGAGTGGGAGTGGCTGTGCGGGTGGTGGTTCTGAGAGTGGTGGTGGTGCAGGATGTGATGGTAGTCGTGGTGGTGGTGGTGCCTGCTGTCCGTCTGGCCAACCGTGTCATGGAAGTGGGAGTGGCATTTGTTCTCGCAGTCCTCGTCGGTGTAGTTAGCGGCGCTCCCCGACGCTCGGCCGTAAGCCTGCGGCGAAACGAAGGACACCTGCGGCGCCAGCATCACCTGCTCCTCCTCCGCCACGTTGCTGCCGTGCAGGCTGCTCGAGTGGTCGCCAAACGTGCTGGCGCCGTTAGTCTCCACATCTGGAGACACAATATGGAGATCTGGTCAGGTTAGGCCGGGAGGTCGACCTCCGCCTGCGCCGTTTCAGAGGTCAGAGCTCTGTTCTCTATGGTGGAGCGACCTGCAGCTCTTAAAGCCTTCACGCCAAACGTGACATCACAGTTGTTAATATGCACCAAGCTGACACAAGCCTCCATACAGAAACACATCTCAGCTCTCGGCTCGAGTGACGCTCGGCTTCACTTTGAGTTGTTGAACAAAACACGAAATAATTCACCTTCACTCGGCTTCACGCGGTTCTCCTCCAGCGCCGGATGTTTCTCTGGATCCGCGTTCTCGTTCTGATCACACTTCTTCTGGATCTGCGTGGAGTTCGTACAAACTCATCAACATCAACATGAAAGGACCAGTTTACAGTTTTCTGACAGCAGCACGAAGGTTTGTAGGCCAGAATACTTACAATTACCATGAACGCTTAAACGCCTTCATTTTACCTCCAAGTCAGACACCAACTTCTCAACAAAAAAACCCATGAGATGAGAAATAAATAGTTCCTTTAAGAGTGAACAATCAGAACAGAAAATCAACATGTTACAAAGAGTTATTGTTCAACTTTGTAGCTGCTGTGTGCAAAGTGTCCCAATTAACTCTATCTGCACAGAGAAGGAAAGCTGATGCTAAATCAGACCGTTCGTGTCCGACTGTATCGTTGCAAAGCGTAAACAGAGGATGCATCGATTTTTCATGACGTTTCAAAAAATACAAAACTGCAAAGTCATGTTGAAACCAAAAGCCGGCGGCGATCTGCAGCCACGCAGGGGAGGCGGACTTCAGAAACTCCCTCAGCTGAAAAAAGGCGACGACAGCAAAATATGTTCCTCAGAGCCAAACCTCAAAGTGTTTGAGCTGAGTCGGGGATTTTTGTGAAAAACTGAAATTTTGAGGCGTTTGTGTTCATCCAATTTCATGGCAGAAGGCTGCGCCGCACACTGCATGTAAACTATGTGATCAAAGAGCTTTTTTAATGAAATCTCCCACACGTCTGTGAAGCTGTCTCAAAGATCTGTGCAAAGCCCCAAAGAAAGATCCTGAACTTTGACATCAGGATGTTTGGATTCTGCAGCTGACGTTTCACAAACAGGCCGTCTGCCTGTAAGACTGTGACTGTACGATGCTCTGTTCTGACCTTTGGTTATTAACTGAGGGCTTTTAAGTAACTAAATTCTAAGTAAGAGCGGGCTGCATGATGTGACTCAGGTCTCAGTGTGTTAAACGGTCAGTTTAACAGTTTGTCTGCACGAACAACAGGAATCAGGAGTGTTAAACGTCATTCTGACTGTTAGAGAAACTCGCCGTCTCTGACCTTCTGTTTCTTGTCCTTGTACATCTTTCCGAGCGTCAGGAAGTGCTCGATGAGAAACATGAAGTAGACGCCACTCAGAGCCGTCAGGCCCTTCCACACCGCGTCCAGGTTCTCCTCATGCTCGTGATGGTGTCCCGTCATCGCTGCATCTTCGTGGTGGTGATGGTGTCCCGTCATCGCTGCATCTTCGTGGTGGTGATGGTGGCCTCCCTGAGACTGATCACACAGCGTTAGCTTAGCATAAATATGTGACACAGGGGGAGCAGCAAGAACTAAATAATTAGACTGAAAGTATCTCATGTATGTTTACACATCGACTGATGATGATGATGAAGCTCTTTATTATCAGAACAAAAGCAAACAGAAAAACTGTCACAAATCTCTGTAAACGGTTACAAAATGTTCTTTATCTGACTGTTCTTAAAAAAATAATTTAAAGTTGTGCTTGTTGTGATCTTTGAATGCGTATGATGTCACACACGTGACATATGATCCTCATTTATAATGTGTGGAGTCTGCGTGTGTCTATGAATGTGTAAACACGTTGCAATGGCCGCTTCCCTTTTGTCCACATCGCTCTTGAACAAGACGTTTACAGTCTCAGTGAGTTTTAACTGGAAAAATCAAGACTATGATAAAATAATAGAATAATTAGAGGCTGATCAATCAGCCGGCTGCTGATTAGAATCAGAGACGTGATCTACCTGATAGATCAGGTTTGGTTTTAGAGCTCGACAAAGAGTCAAATTTGATAAAAAAGGGATTCGAACACTCGCTTCACCTCACGGCTGCAGTAGATTTACAAACGTGCAGCTAAGCAGCCTCTGTCTGCTGGCTCGCTCGCCGCTGCGTTCAACAGCTGAAGTCATTGATCACTTTAACTTGAGAGCATGAACGTCACGTGTTGTAAGACTTCCTGTAAGTCAGGTGGTCGCACTCTGCAGGGACTCACGTGGGGGATGAGGTGCAGGAAGGCGTCGCCGCTCAGCGTGCCCACGGCCAGCGCCACCAGGAAGCTGAGGAGGAACTTGAAGAAAACTTTGTTCATGAGCGGGATGAGGACGACGCCGAGCAGAGACAGCAGGCTGATGATGGTGATGGAGAGGAACCCGCCGACCCACGCTGCAACACAAACACAAGCTTCAGGAACATCAAAACGCTGCTGACAGTAAACACCGCACTGTCTCTGCTTCCAGCACACGACGCTGTGATTCTTCAACTTCAGGCACAAACTCAGTGCCGACCCAGAGCGATCCCTGAGTCATGTCCTCAGACTGGTTTCACTCTGCTGCAGCAGCACAGAGGCGGCCCTCGAGCAGTCGCAGTCTGAAGTGTCCTCACTGTATTTGTGTTATCTTTGATCATTTATTCGTTCTTTCCCTGATGAACTCTACAGGTCGTCCACGTCCAGCAGCTCAGCTTTCTGTTGCTGTGCAAACAGTAACTGCAGACCGCTGGACGGACACGTTCACAGGACCACAAATTTCACTTCAAAGATGCTCTCACCTGACACGAGTCTGCAAACGGAGCTGCTCGATGAATAATCAGTTTTAGTTTGATTCATCTGCAGCGTCTGACACCAGCGCTGTCAGATCATTTTCATCACACTATCGGACATTTCACAATTACATTTACAGACTACATGTCGTCATCCATCCTTCTTACGATTACTACGCTGTTGACACACAGCTGTGGCTTCCTGAATACATCAGCAGCTTCTCTGACCTCAGTGAATGCTTCACAACTTCCACTAACTGGATGTTTTAATGTTCAAGCTGAGTCTCGGTGTTTGTACAGTGAGCTCGGTCATTACACGGCCTCCTCGCAGCAGCATCAAACCTCCTGCTAAGAACCTCCAGAGTTGTTTTTCACCAGGGTTCAGATTTGACACCCAGTCTTGTTTCTTTTACTGTCAGCTGATAACTTAAAAACATGCCTCAGTCTCCTCAGACCGACTTTGTATCGACATATACAGTTTAGTTTATACATGTGCTTGATTGTGTTTGCATTTTAGAATATGTCCAGTTCTTTATGTTCATATCCAAACTTTATGACTGCATTTTAAAAAGTGTGATACAAATACCGTGTTTACATTTCATATTAGCAGAAATATTATTAATAATAATATTTCTGAGATTAACTTTCCTCCCACACTGAGGAGGATTAGGTGGTGCAGACGGCTCACATTAAACGTACCCGTGGTGATGTTTCTGCTGTTCTCCCCGCCCATGTGCTCACTGTGGTCGTGGTCTGAGTGGTTGTGGTCTCCATGGTGACCGTGAGCATGCTTGTGATGCTTATGCTCTAAAAACAGGAAGAAGGAAAGATGAAATTCAGAAGTTATTACTTCATTCTTACAAATTCAAAGAGCCATAAGGCTGAGGTCAGAGGACGGGACACTGTGACAGAGTGTAACTGGTTTAAACTGGTTCACCAGATTAAACACCACAGGCTTACACTCAACACAAACACACTGATGATGATGATGATGATGATGATGATGATGATGATGATGATGATGATGATGATGATGATGATGATGAGCAAACAGTTCATCATAAAATACAAAATGCTCCTGATTCCCAGTCGGTGGCAACATTTCCCAAACACTCGGATCTGTTTTTTCCAGCCATCGAATCAAATATCAGGATCAAAATATCCAGATCACAGCAATCAGACCACAAAGTCAGAGTCTGACAGCAGTAATCAGCTGCAGTCCTGCCTGAGGGGTTTAATCCTGGTGGGAACTTTCCTCAGATGTTCGAAGGCCTGGAGACAGACGGAGCTGCACTGGGAGCAAAACTATTTTAATTTGAATCCAAATGTTTGGTGATAAAACAAAGACCGTGCTGCATTCAATGTTCCTTCTTTTCTTTCCTTCCTGCCAGCCGTTCACTTCACATTTAGTTATTATTTCGAGTTAACTCATCACTACCCTTTACCTTTGGAGTCACAATAGAGGCCCAACGCCTAACCAGATGAACCTGTCCTCCTCCTCCTCGTTTTTGTTTGGTTTCATTTGAATTATAGTGACGGTTAAAGAAACTGCCTGTAAATGGTCCCATGTTGAAGTTCAGTAACAGCACGTTTCTTAAAGAATAACTGTGTAAAATAATCGAGTTACCAAAATGATTCTGATTGGTGACGTGACTGAGCAGCCTGTTGATTCCAGGACAGAGTCAGCGCTCTCCGGAGTCAAACAGACGCATTCACTGTCACACTCGGAGCGAGCAAGTCATGCAGCAGGAATGTGATTTTACCAGAAGATCCAACAAAGTGCCGCAAACGCTGAGCCAGGTTCACCGTTCAGCCCAACAGCTTCAAACAAAGAGCAGCTAGAGTCTGCTTAAAGAAGACGTCAGTCATTCGATTTTACAGCAGAGGCAAGAAAATCTCGACTCAACAAAAAATAAAATGCTTGTTTTTCTTGTTCTGCTTTCTTATTATTTCTCTGGTATGAAACACCGAAGTGATGATCAGTCAGCAGCTGCACACATTTTCCTGGAGATACCGATGAGGAGTTTTGGTCCTACCTCTCGCCCCGTGTGCCGAGGCGTCTCCGTGCAGCACGCACGCTCCTCCATCGATCTGGTTGAGGAGGGCGGGGCAAAGAAAGCTGAAGTCTCTGAGCGTGACGCCGGCCTCCTGAGACATCCCGTGTGAGGAGAGGATGAAGGAGGCGTTCAGACACTAGAGGGGGAAAAATTAAAACAACAACATTGAGTAAAGAAAACACCTGATAAGAGACTTGATTTATCACGTGTACGAGTACAAACATCTCGGCTGACATCAGCTGATTTGCTGACTGCGACTGAGCCAGAAACCAGTATCGTACCTCTGAACCGTTCTGGCTGCGGCCGTGGGGACGATCCTGATCGCGGTCATGCTCGCTGTCGCCGCTTGCGGTTGCTTGTGTCTGGCTCTCAGTGACGGCGATCCTGGTCGTTTGTTCCCCTGACGGTCGCCCCTGGCTTCCATCTTGCTGTTTCACCACGTGCTGAGCTCTGTATGTCACCGTGGTGCCGACCTCCTGAGCCACCGCCGCCACTGTGGTTTTCTTGTCATAGAGGTTTAGACGACTATCTGGATCCTCGCTTTTCTTTCCCACGGCACCGTCGTGGTTGTCGGGGGTGTCTGGAAACTTCGGGGGCTGTGAAAGTTGTTTTAGGTGATCAGAATTGCTTTCATGGGGATGGTGGTGATGGTGGTGGCCTTTGTGGTGGTGGTGGTGGTGGGGATGGTGTCCGGGTTGCTCGTGATGCTGCACCATAACAGTCCTCATGCGACCCAGCCCCACGCTCTGAAGGAGGCGCTTTAACCCGGCCAGAGAGATGGTGCCGTTTTCTCCATATCTGTCAGATTTAATGGAACAGAACGATTAAACATGGCGCATATATGTGAGGCCTGCAGCCACCTGTGCAGCTAACACACAGACTGACGATCGATGACTTCAGCTGCTGACTAACAAACCAGCTGCTGGACCAGCTCCACCTGTCTCACTGCCAGGAGCTCACCTGTTGAACAGAGCCTCCAGGTGTTCCCTCCGGCTCTGCTCGGCTCTCTGGGCGTCGACGACAGAGGACAGTAAACGAACCGCGCTGTTGGTTTCCATCGTGGACCCGCTGCAGTCTGTAACGGCGCCTAATGAGTCGCCACTCACGGCGAAGAGAAACATCAGAACCAGAACTGCACTCATCTCCTCTTCTTCCTGTGGACAAAAACAGACGGTAGACATGTTGACACGTCAGGAAGAGGCAACACTGAGAGTGAAACGATTAATTTGTTTTATTCTTGGACTCTATTACAGTCCTTGTGTAATCGGTGGGCATCTTATCCTGGGCCTTCCTGGGTCCTCAATTTATCCTCTTCTACAAACTGTTATTAGCCCCTCCCACCTGAAGCCAAAATTCTTCTGATTGGCTGCCCCTCGTACACCAGAGAGCTGAGCAGTAGATGAAACTGAAACTTTTTAATTATTGATTATTGATGAAATTTCCCAAAAGATGTTTGATTTATTCTATAGACAGAGCAATGAAGCATGGGGCATCATTTGGGGACATTAACTAATTAACAGTGATCATAGACGAAAAATAAACTCCAACATTGAAACTGTAATATTCTGCTACCAGTGTACTGCACTACTGTGTATATAGATATACATTTCTGCTCCCTTATATAGTGTATATTCTCTTCGATTGTTGCACAGTATTGTTGTTCTTAGGCATGCTGCTTCGTCCACTTTGCTGCAAATTTCCCATCTCTGAGACAAATAGAGTCTATCTCATATTATCTGAACAGATTTCCAATGCACTCATTATCTGAAGTAACATTTATCTTCTGAGACTACGTTTGCTTTAGCTAGGTTTAACTAGGGCGCAGTTTTAGAATCCCCCCCTCCATGGGTAACTGATCAAAAACAACCCTTATTACATATTTATATCACCTATTTATATGTAATATCTACTCTTAAAACCTAATATTAAAATAGTAAGCTCCAGCACTCATCACAGGATACTAATGAAGGATCCATAATCACGAATGCGTGGTAATTTCCCCACAGCCTATAGGTGACGCCATTCTCAAGTATAGCCGTATAAACAGAAATCACAGAAATTCCCCAGCTTACTCACTCATGTCTGTCTGTGTTTCTATTTAAAGGATTCACCATTTCACCCTCTAAATAAGAAACCAAAGAAACAGACTGAGACTCTGCTTTTCTAAGGAAGTGAAAACAGTTCACTGAGTCAAAGGGGATTTTAGTGCTCACTACAACATTACTGCTTAAATGTCCTCAACTTCAAGTATTGCAAGAACTTGCAGTCGAGACTCACCCAGTCAGTAACTACAGATGGAACAGATGCGCGCCACAGTTACAGTGAATAAATGACACAATAGAAACACCGGCAGCCCACCGTGACAGATGGAAACTGCACAGCAGATGAGATCACTGTGCAGAAAAAAGGTTTTATTTAAGCCGATCTAAGCAGCAGCTTATAAAGAATTTTATCACAATAAACTTGAAGTACGCGTCCTTTGACACGAGGAGAAATGTTAAAATTAAACGTTTTCTGAATGGATCTTGGTGTGCCGTTCGTCCAAGTTAGCGGATGCTGGTTTAGATCATTAGGAAGTTAGCTTAAAATAAGAAACCGATCGTATTAGTATTAATGATTACGAGTGTGCGGTGTTCAATTTTAACGATGAGTGACGATATCGCTCACACAGACGCTCACCTCCTCCCCTTTAAACGGTGGTTTAGCCGGCTAGCTACGCTGCTACCCCTGGTTAGTTCTTAAATTTCTCGGAGGATGCTCAAAGACGATATCTGCCAGATGACCCGGGCCAGGCTTGGGCCTTGTGCTGCCGAGGCTCGGTCGCTCAAACAGGGCTAATAAAACATACAAAATACATCCCCGGTGGTACGAGCAGCCACGCGTGGCTGCATTTGACCCGAAACACAAACTCGCACTGGAGGTAAACAGTAACACGTTGGGTTTGTGCGCTCCGCACCAGCCGTGTGCCGTGTGCACAAAGACGACAACCCGGAAATCAGCACCAGCTCCTGCCGCCACCGCGCGGAGCGGACTGGACCGGCCGTGCTGGGGCTCCCGGCGGCCGCAGAGAGGTTTTAAGCGAGCCTTTTCAATGACCGAAACCACTTACAATGAGAGCTTGTGCTGCTTTTATCCTCTGCGGGGATGAATGAACGCTTCACGGTGCCGCTCTGTCCCCTTCGGTCCGGTAACCACGGCTGATGGATGCGTTACCTTCACTGGCTGTCGGAAATCTGAGCATACAAAGGACGGGGCAGAAGGAGGGAAACGAAAGGTGATTAGCATAACGACAAACTGAGCACGCTACCGTCACAAAATAGATCTGACCTCTATGTTTCAATTTAGATTGAATGTTTTACAAAAAAAAGGCTCTGCACATAATTTTACCAAAAATATAGATAGGATCACTAGTCTGATAAATGGAGCCATCAATACATCGATGAGTTGTATAGTCATTTTTTTTTTTAAATCAGCTACAAAAAAGAAGTTGAAGAAACAGAAATATACAAAAAAAAAGCTACATATTGCTTTACAAAACAATAACTTGAAATATATTATCACAATGGATATTATATACAAGATATAGCACAAATTAACAGGATCCTGCAGGTTTCTGGACTCACGTTTTTGGCCACTGTCCTGGTGTTTTATTTAGAGCCAGATGGTGGAGAGCAAATTTACCAACTAATCCTAATGAGCTGCAGGAGAAAACAGTACAGATGCAACGCACAGACATGGATAAGTTTGCCATAACACCTGTCAGTATAAGCAGCCATGCTCCCTTACTTTAAGCCTTAACCAAGTGTAAAAACTGTGGGGGAACTATCCGTAGCAGCTGCTGTAAACATGAAAGGATTAACTAAACATGTAGGCAGCCTCCAGTGGCCATTCCAGGAACTGCAGTTTCACCGTTCATTAGTAAACTTTGATGGCACAGGCCAGCTTCGATGACAAACTCCAATTTATCAATGAAAATGTAAATTTTCACAGCTGAATCTTTTCTGTGCTTTATTTCCTGACACCTTGCAGGAAAAGACTGACCGATGTAGATAAAAAGGCTCGATTTCAGCAGACTTACGGAGCTCAATCAAAATATGTGCAGTGTATAAAATATGTTTACAGGCAAAATGCAAATTCTAAGCATGAGCCTTCCTACATAACATGGCAGAGTGATTCATAGTTTACAGGGACTCACTTTGAGCCAAGAAGCAGGAATAGAAAGCTCACAGTGATTTTTGGCACCTCAGTTACTGTAACTATCGTCTTCCTGAAGAACAAAACGGTTAAATCAGAGTTCTGCTGCTCGGATGTCGACTGAAACGAGTTCGCCTGGTTTGAATTCTTTCACTGTTTGCTGTTTAACGTTCACGCTGAATTATAAATTCTTCATGAGGCCTTCCACAGTTCAGCACCACACTGTCTGAGAGGAGCTCTGGCTTAATGCCTTCATCGTGCATTTCATTTTAACGGACATTTCTTTGTTTTAATCATAATTTTTTTATAATTTTATCCCTTTTGACCAGTTCTATTATTCGACTAATATTTCTTAAATAGGTTTCATTAACTGGAGGGCCAGGTTGTGTCTGCTCCTCACAGATCGTCACTCGCCTGCAGCAGCTGATCTGTTGTGCGTCATTACCAGACGTACTAATGCACCTTTGATATTTCTATGATTTAATAATTGATTAAAACACTTCCTCTTTGCCTTTAAACCACAGTGAATTTGATTTATTGTTGTATTATAACAGTTTAGCTCTTTTAGCTGAGGGTCATAAACCTGCACGTGGCTCTCTCACATTTGTTGAATTTCAGCAGTAATCGTTAGCGCAGATGCTAATGTAGCTGAGATGTAATATACTGAGTGTGAACATTCTCAAAACTGTATTGTATATAGATTTTTTTTATTATGTAAAGTTAATTTTTGTAAAACTAAGGTTCCACATAGGGGTGGGGAAAAAATCGATACTGTGTAGTATGGTGATATTTTTTTTGCTAATAATGTATCGATACAGGGACGGCAGAAATCGATATTTTGTTACAAAAAAGGTTTTTGTGGTCTGACTTCAGAGCATGTTGATCCTTTTTCTGAGCAAGAATCCTGACATTCCTTCACTGTCCAAATGTGTTTAACTTTTTTTTTGGCAGCAATAAACACGACAGTTTACTTATTTTAATTTAAGATATGTTTTATTTTAATTAAGTTTAAAACTTTTTTATTTAATGTAAAATTATATTTTGTTTTCGTTTACTTTCAAATCCTTCAGTTGCTGAAGGGGCTGCATAGTTTTCATAAATTGCATAGTTCAGAATAGCTATAATTGTACCAGATGGTTGCATTGAGTTAAGTTGGACTAGACTGTAATACAAACCGTTCAGTTTGTCAACAATAAAAATGACTGAAATGAGAGAAAGACTGAGTGTGAGACTTTGATATTAGATAAAATGAATATTGATAAAGTTTACCTTTATGTACAGAATCTGAATATCACAAAATATTTTTTAAAAATTGCAATAATATCGTATTGTGCGTTAAGTATTGTGATAACATCGTATCGTGGGATGCATAGTGATTCCCACCTCTAGTTCCACATGTCACTGTTGAAGTGGGGCATTAATCAGTGTGACACCATTTGTAAACATGCTGTGTGGGGGTTCCCGGTCGAGCTGCATGGACTCCCCACTGGTAAGGCACACTTTCTGTAGCTCCTCTCGCTGTACTATTATGTGTTTTCTTTACTAAGTATTAGTTCTTATGGCCAAAGTGTTTTTGATTACTTTGAACGAGGAAAATAATAATACGAACTGCCTTTTATCTGTTACACCATCCGTCTATGTGTTCCTTACTTGTGCTAAACAGGGACGAGGAGAGGCCTGCTGTTGCTGCGTGACACTGATTTTGCTGCTGCACTTTGTCTTTTAGAAAATAAATCCAGTTTCCAGCCAGTCTGTGTCTGTCCTCACAACGTAGTCTTCCATTTGAAATCTGCTACACTAACACCAAAATGTTTAGTCCTGAGTCCAGCATCAATGCTGCTGTTTGATCAGCTGTATCGTTAACTGCAGCTAGAAATGACCTCTAAATGTCTCTCCTGAGAGTTTGAGGTTTCCGGCTGCTGTCATACTGGTACAGCACTTTAGACAAAGCCTGCTTGCATTTTTTTGTGCTCATAATTAAACTGAAAACAGGTGAAATACACTAAAGCTGCCTGTGGCAAAAAAAAAAAGAAGTTATTTATACTCAGATTTATGAGATTGCAGTTACCAGTAGTTCATTGTATCAGCTAGTGCTGTCAGCGTTAATCTCGTTGAAATGACATGAACGCCATAACCGCATTAACGTTAGCGCAGATTGTGGCATGCAGCCCTGTGCGTGGTTAGCTTGTTAGCTAAATGTTTCAGGTCTGTTTTTCATATTTAAAGAATCAAACTTTAAAGTTTTCTCCCTGGGGGTTTTATTATCTTTGTTACATTTGCAGAATAAAATTAATCGATCCCAATAAGTCAGAAAATCCCAGCAGCACTTGAATGCATCATAGGGGAACTGCAGAATTCTTAAGGAGGCCAGTGGTGCGCAACATGTGACTGAGCGCTGGATCACGTGACAGCGCAGTCCTGTCCAGGTCTGTTTGAAGGAGGAAGAGGAGGATGAATGAGGGAAGAGTCAGCATCACTTTGGTTTCTCAGAGGATTAGAGTCACGGTTAGAGGGCGGGAAGGAAGATGATTGGTCATCTGCAGTTGGTAAACATGATAATAAACACCAGTGAGAATGTGAATGAATTATTTCTATCTTCAGTTAAAAATAAAATTCTTCTGATGTGCGATGACGCTGCAGACTCGACACAGAAGGAAAACTCTGAGCTCTGTGTCTGTCTGCGATTCTTTTCAGTCACTTTGTGCTTTTTCGTATCATTTTGATGCGCATGTGCAGAACGTTTGAGTTTCTCTGCAGTGATTTTGCACCAGTCTGTTGCCCCTTTGTGTCTTTTTGTTGGTTTCTGTGTTTTGGGGGTTATTTTTAATTTTGTGTCTTTCTGTGTCTGTTTGGACTCGGCTTATATCTCTCATTGATTTGCTTCTTTTTGTCTTGTCTGCAGGCCTCTGCTGTCATTTTGCGTCTCTTTTTTTACATGTTTGTCTCTTTATGTTCGTCATGTGTCTATTTTGTGACTTTTTGTATTTTTTGTGCTCATTTTAGTTAATCACAGTTGTTGTGGATCTCCCTGTGGTCAGTTGTTATTGATTCGCCTCGTTTCTTACCATCTTTGTGTCTCTAATTCTTTTGCAGCTCCTTGTTGTTGTTTTTACGTTAACCGCCTCTTTAACCTTCCTGCACAGTTGGTGATTCGGTAATACTCGTGCAGCTTGTGCTGAAACAAACACACCTGTCACTGAACTTTGCTTATCTATTCCTGACTGGAAAAATCCTGCAGCTGTGACCTGTTTTCCTGTGACCACAGAAAAGGTCTTTTAACATCATACATGTGTGCAGTGTGCTGAATACTCTTACCACAGCGCTACTGTTCAGGTTTCGCTTCAGTGTGAAATGTTTGCAGTTCAGAGTCTCACGTTGTGCACAAAGATAACAGAAGATCAGCTGGGGACGGCTCGGTCTCAGAGGAGATAACTCCCCGCTGAGCTGAACGCTGAGCCCAGACGGATCCAAACAATCACCTGTCGCCCAAATCTGTCTCCCAACCCTCCCTCAGCACAAACAGCGGTTTGAGTATTCTGTCCACACCTGATCTTTGTGTCGGTGTTAACAGATGAACTGAATGCAGCTCGTGTTTTGTGATTATAAACCAACAGACAAACATGTTTTTGGCTCCTGAAGGATCAACGATATTTGATTAAGAGGGTCTGTAAACTCAGACTGTAGAAGAAGAAACGAAAATGACTGAAAAGAACCGTTTTTGTCTTCTTTTATTTATTAGTGACAACAAAGGAAAAGGAACAACTATATAGTTTCATTTTATTATATCGTGTGTGTGTGTGTGTGTGTGTGTGTGTGTGTGTGTGTGTGTGTGTGTGTGTGTGTATATAAATATATATATATATTTCAAATTTCAGAGTGTGTTT